ATGTTAACTGGACAAGTAGGGTGCGTGGCAAGCTTTCTCGGGCTTTCGTGGTACAGGCTCTTCATCATGGAATTTTTCCATGGGGCCGGATCGTCTGACCTCACGCAAGCGGAAAGGGTGTCCGCTGCTGTTAACGCGATTGATGAAGAGAGGATATCAACACTTGCACCGCATGGATACGGCCAAGCTATTGACGTAGTGTACCATCTACTGCGTTTGTACGCAGATCCGACAGCCTCATACCCTCTCACGGCTGGCGTATACGAGAACGAAAGTGTTGGGGCGATCTACTCCCCTCTTGATGCGCGATTCTCGTGGCTTATTTACCAAGTTCTTACTGCAGTCATCCCGCAAGCGTCGACGCCGAACGCGCCGCAGATGCTTGCGGACGAATTTTCATCTCAAATGGGAGGGGTATGGCTCCGAACTGGCAACAATGTCCGGCCCTCTGCGACACCACCAGCGTGTTGAACTGTTTCTGTTTCCACCATCTCCAACAACCCCCACACCTTCATCCCTCGTTCATCTTCCCTCGTCCATCCGCCACCATTCATGTGAATACATCCGACCCCCACCCCGCCCCTACCGCACCCCCCCCTCTATGTCCCTGCTAATGCACATCAACAGAACCAGCCTACGATTCCCTTACGGCCCACTCTTACCCAAAACAGACACTTTCAGCATCACCAACAGCTCCGAGGCTCCCATCACCTTCAAGGTCACCACCACTGCCGACGACTTCTTCACTGTGAGCCCCGCTGCCGGCACCCTCCCGCGCGGCTCCGCCCAGCCCGTCTCTGTCTCTCTCGACCGCACCGCCCCCCAAAACGGCAGGGCGTCCACACGCCACAAAGTCACCGTCCTCGTCGCCGCCGCCCCGCTGAAAAACACCCCCGCACATAACCCGCACACCCGCTTTGCCGTCAAGAACGTACGTAAACCAACTGTGTTTATTTTGCCTGTGACGGTGCCACCCTCCTTCCAGCATACTTTCGTAAAAAGTCCCTCGGCCTTCACCCCGTGGAGGTTGCTGCCATATGTTCAATCACCATTTTCGGGCCCGTCTCGACCGCCGGCCGAAATGTCACTTGCTCCGCGTGGGACTCCGCGTGCAGACAAACCGCCCCGGGGAGCGCCTCGGCCCTCGCCGCAGCCTCCTTCCCGGCCAGGCCAAGCCCAGCCCCACATCTTGCTGCACGGCCGCCGCCGCCCCTCGTCTCCCTACGCTCCCGGGCACCGCTGGCGCCCTCGAACGGAGGGAGTTCACGCACGGCAAAGAGACGCGGCCTCTGAAGGCTGTCCCCAGTATGCGGCAAATTCCGCGCAAGACGGCGAATACCCCGCCGCCCGCGCGAGAGAGGGCAAGGGCACTGGTGTCGACAATCTCTGCTTCTGGGAGACCACAGGCGAGGGGCGCACCACTGACACCGCCACCTGCGTGGCAAGTACAACACCCAGGTGCTGCTGTGAGTAAAGGGGAGATCAGTGTCCAAAGTCGGAGCATGTTGACAGGAACGCACCCCATCAAACTATCGGACCCTGGTCCAAAGAAGCATATATCGAAGAGAGAGCAGGGGAGCGGTACCAAAGATGATATTTCGGAGATTGGCTCAACCGCACCCACCCCTATACAAATTCCCGCGATGGACGTAGCACGTGAACACAGAGAACTAGTTCGCCAAACAGCAGCAACACATAGTTTGCCTTGGGAACGGACAGAATGGATTGCTTACGTTTTTTCATAGATGATAGAAAGGCTGGAAGAAGAGTGCAACGCCAAGTGCAGTGCAAGCTGTGTGGTGCAAGAGAAGTTGGTGCGCGGCGTGAGGATGCGTGCGAAAACGAGCAAGGGAGATTTCATGGTTGTTGCATTCGCAGGGAGCGGTGGCGGTGCAACGAAGATTGGAGTTCTCGGGCGTGTAGTGCCACGATACATCGGTAGGGTGGTGTGCATGAGCGAAAGCAAAGATGCAGTGTTGATGCGCGACTACGGGGACAAGAGTAGCAATCTATTATTGCCAAAGGAGGCAGAGACAGTGACCAAGGACTATGTGTGGATGCAAATGGGGACGATAGGGAGGACAAGTGAACTTCCAAAGGGTGGGTTGATGGATTTGCGGCCGGAAGTGTTGCGTGGAATGGTAGATAACTTGGAGCAAATGCATATGTTTCGGGAGATAGCAAGCAGAAAAGCGTACGAAAAGAATGTAAGACGTTTCCGAACGAGCAGAAAGCGAATCCAGATAGGTTTAACGAAGCTGATAGGATGTGGAATTCCGAAGACGGCGATCGGTGGGCAAGGGTACCGTAAGGGTGAAGGTGGTGAGCATTATTTATTTCATAGATGGTTTGAAGGATTTGTTGGGTGTCCATTGGCAGTTGCAGATGGGGGGATTTTGGAGGAGGTTGTATTTTTGAAGATGTGGAGCTCTTTTGGGGAGACAGAAAAGGTCGTGAAGTGTAGAGAGATTGGAAAATGTGTACATTGGCTGTCGTTGTTGGTAATGAGGTTGGAATATGCACAGCACAGTGAGGCGGAATCAGCGGAGAGGGAATGGTGGCTTACGCAGGCGGGAAGGGCTTTGGTGCAGATGAACGACAAGTTTATCGAAACGGGCAAGTGGTGTGGGAGAGGGACTTGTCACTCAGTCACGAGGAAAAACCTGCCCACTGCTACGCAATACTTTGCGCATTAGATGGTGTCAACAAATGTGAAAGAACCAAGTCTGTCATGCCAAATGTTGTGATTTTGTTTGTTTCATGGATTGTGAGTGAAAACCGTAGCCAGTTTATTGTGTGCTAGTGTCTATCCCAATGTTCACATATGAGGTCACGACATATTTTTTCTTGACTTGCACTTTCACGACAAGAAGGAGAAAGATGCCCTCGCCATTGTACTTGACTTCTAACGTTTGGAAGGAAATAGTCTAGTGAGAACTTCATGTTCTTCTTTCTCGTTTCTGGAAATTTCTGGAAAACCCAAGCTTTCTGAAACTACCTTTATCACAGGTTTTCGCAAAGGGCATGATAAAAGGAAAGCAGTTTCTTTTCTTAACCTGAAGATATTCGCAGTTTATTGGTTGTAGTTGTGGTCACAGGACATCGGCTATGTGAGACAAACAAAGGTTGCGCAAACCATGATAAACCGAGCTAGAAGAAAAAAACATAGAACAAAGAGAAAAAAGATATGATGAGAAAGGGAAACAACCATCAGGACGTAGACGGGCGGCGACATGGCGCGGGCTTCCGGCGGGGGGGTAGGCGGGAGGGGGGGGAGGGGACGGATGGAAGGGGCAAGTGCAGAGCCGGTCCCTTGCGAAATGCGGGATGGAAAGATTCAGGGCATCTCCACTGGTTGGTGTTTTTTGGGTCTAATGATCTATGGCCCATGAATTTTAGACCCATTAGACAATTTCGTCTCCACTCGTTCAAAAAAAAACTGGGTCTATCCCTACCAAAAAATACCGTGGGTCTTGTGGGGGAGATTTGGGGTACTGTACAGGGTACTGTACAGGGTACAGTACCCAGGAGTGGCCCCAGGACCAAAGCCTTCAAAAGATGATTTTATTGGTCTACGTGTACGCCAGGTGTACACGTGGACAATCTCCCTTTGAAGGGCGGCGGTCCTGGGAAGTGGAAGATGCTGGCGGCCCCTCTATAAGAGAAAGGGGCGCGCCGCGACACTCCGCGAGGAGGGACACAAGAGAAAAAAAAACAACAACACCCCGGACCGAACCCCCTCTTGAAATAAACGCTTTTCTCTCTCCCCTACGCACGCAGCCCCCCTTTTTAGCTGTCAACATGGTACTCTTGTGGAGGGGTGGCAAAGAAGACGGTTCCCTGTCACA